CTACAACAAATACCACTTCTCTGTCACTAATATCTGCGTCACTTGATCGAACAAATTGATCGGGGATAAATTGCGCAACCCGGTTGCCTTTTGGCTTCCCTACTGCGAATAAAGTTCTGGTTTAGTCTGCATCATGCACGCACAAATGTCTGTTTATTTTCCTGGTTTCCTATTTGATACTTTACTTTACTTTACTTTGCTTTACTTTACTTTACTTTACTTTACTTTACTTCACTTTACTGCGGCTGGCTCCTTGGAAAGGATAAGCCATCTTTAGATATGATTATGAAGTTTCTTGGGAGTTTGGTACGAGAGATGTCCTCAGCGTTACTCGGCGTTTGTTTTATTTTGAGGGCGCACCTCTAGCCTTCGCAAAACTAAGTGCGAACTGCACAAAGCAGCAGGAAGTAATCCCTCGCCTCGGAAGTGAGGGAGTCAATGGCTCTAGTTTTAAAAGGCCAGTCACATCGACCTTTGTCACGATACCGCCATGGGACTTATGCGGCTTTTTAACAGAAGTCAGGTGACCAGCCTGAAACCCACCACACCCTGGTAGTGCCGCCGCTGCTTTTTCGTGATTGCTTATTTATTGCGGTATGCTACGACTTATTTACAGCTAACCTTCTTCGGTGAAGGTATTTTCCTATTCACAACCCGGGGACGCACCTGGTAGCCTTCAGTTCTGATTTACCTGAGAGTATACGCAATTGTGACGTCTCGTCTATCTCACTCCAGAATGCAATTCATGGTCACTTCAATCCATAAATTCTTCAAATGCTTTTATTTTCAAATCCATTTAGACGGAAGTCAGTGATTTGCGTAGTATTTGCACATCCACCTAGGACCACTTCCACCGGAAAGAGACTTTGCAGAAGAGCAGTTCAAACCAATTTAATCAGAAAAATAATTTTTACATTCCGCACATACAGTCAGTCGTACATGCATACGTACGTACATACACACAGGCCAACAGATATCCGTAAAGGTGAACCAAGTTTGTGTGTGTGTGTGTGTGTGTGTGTGTGTGTTAAATTCCGTCT